CTCCCGAGTCTCCGAAGTATCCCACCTTTCACTGCCACCCTGGTCGCACAGCCCATCACCAATAACGTTCACCAGCTTTCCGAATTCCCACCAAATCCTCCTCCATCTCTGCTGTACCACGTCGCACATCACATATACGCAGCGAACACATACACCTGCTCAATTTCGATGTCCGATTGTCGTTGGTCTAGCTCTCTTCGCTGCTGTGCTGCCCGACTCAGCGGAGGCTGCTGATTCGACTGTGGAGGAGGAGGAGGAGGAGGAGGAGGATTGTGCCCCTCACTAGTATCAGCGTCAAACCGAAGGCAACCTCCACCATAATGGGCATTCGTCCTAGCCATGCAGAACACAATCCGCTGAGACAGTTTGATTCCGAGCCGCATCACCATCATTCCAAACACTCGCTCAGGCTCGGCATGTGGCAGAAAATCCAGCATTTCTTTGCCAAAGATGACGCCACTCACAGCCCGATCGAGTGCTCCGACGACGAGCAGTGGCCTCAGACCTGGGCTGACAGACGGAATTCCGTCAAACAAGATCCCTCAACCAGACCGCTCGCCGTCGGTCTTCCCCGGCAAGCGACATTCCGACGTCAGAATTCAGAAAGGCGAGATCGATTGCTCCCCATCGAGCCTTGTCATGCCGAGAGGAGAGCCGTTTCTTCCACCAGGCACACGTCTATAAGCTTACCCAGACGTCGAGCGACTTCTTCGCCACCCAATTGGGATTCGGCTCGGACCTCTGCACCCGCCGTCACTGGGGCTTCCAGGGCGGATGCCGGAACTGGTGACGCCTATATCGAACCGATTCCACCACCGTCGTTGGATTCGACGCATCCCGACGCGACAGAAGACATCTGGTCTCAAGACGACTACCGACCTCCACGCCCTCCTTCGAGAACTTCTTCTGATGACTCTCACTATCCCCAAATGCCTATAGTCGATGACAAGGCTGAGCTAAGGGACGAACTTGATCACCGATGGATTCTTAACCTTAGCATGCATTTCCGGGATAAGTCGGATCGTGAAAAGTTCTTCGTCACTTATGCACAGACGCCCAACTTTTGGCGGCGGGTGACCATTTCATGTGACTATCGCAATGCTGAGCCGGGATCTTTGGAGATGGACCTCAAGGAACTCCAGTTTCAACGGGATAAGAGCATGCAAATCTATGAGTCAATACGTGATTCCCTCCCCGAGATACAATTCTATGACACCGTTACTAATCTCAAATTGGAAACCACCGACGGTCGTTTACATGTTCACGTGACGGAGGATGTCAACGAGATCATTCCATACCCACCCAAAACTACTCTCTCTCACATACTCAACGATGTAGCGTTCCGTCCTATGCAAATCCGAGAAAGTGAGCTGGCTTTCGATTCACACCTTTCCGGCTTTGTGTATAAGGTTCTACACAAGGGGACAGTCTACATCAAGAAAGAGATCCCAGGACCGGACACGGTCGACGAATTTCTGTATGAAATTAATGCTCTGCATGCACTCCATGATTCTGATCATGTCATCAAGCTTGAAGCTATCGTGCTTGATGACACAGAATCCGTCGTCAAAGGTCTGTTGATTAGCTACGCGGAAAGGGGAGCGATTGTGGATCTACTTTACGACCACAGAGGTGCAATTGCGTGGGATGATCGTAGTAGGTGGGCGGAGCAGGCAGTTCGTGGTCTCAGTGAGATACACGAAGAAGGTTACGTTCAAGGCGATTTCACGCTTTCCAACATCGTCGTCGACGGCGAGGGAAATGCCAAGATCATCGACATCAACCGGAGAGGCTGCCCAGTTGGGTGGGAGCCTCCTGAGATTGCCAACAAGATTGCCAGCAATCAGCGAATTTCCATGTATATTGGCGAGAAATCGGACATCTATCAACTCGGGATGACTTTGTGGGCTTTGGCCATGGATGACGACGAGCCTGAACGCCATGTACCACCCCTGAGTGTTGAAGAATTCCCATCCGACGTCCCCAAGTGGTATCAAGATATTGTTCGGATCTGCTTGTCCGCCCGTCCGAGGGATCGATTATCTGCTAAAGAATTAGTGGATTTGTTCCCGTCGAGAATACCCAGCTCCTCCGAAAAGATTCCGCCGCGTCAGCAGCCTGCCTTGAAATTGCGAACGATGAAGAAATACATCGACCCGGCTGACGCGGTTGAGCGGGATGATATTTTGCGGTTGGGTTCAAACATACAGGAGTACGAGGCCCCTCCATACTCTCCAGAGAGCTCACGGGATGACTATACATTCACATATCCGAAGTCGTCCAACTACGAGTTTGAGAGTGAGACCTCCGGCTACGACCGACCCAGGGGTAGACGACCACCTACCAACTATGCGCATCTTGGAAAGAACGAGAGACATCACTGGGAATCTGAGGATGAGCGGCCGACCCCAACCGAGGATTTGGAACCGAACATCGTAGCCATATCTCCGGGAATGGATCGAGAATTTGACGAGCTCGAACTGGATGGTCATCCTTACTTGATTTCCCGCCGGACTTTCAATGACGAAGAACTGAAGATTTTAGAGGGTCCTACACAAGGGGAGAGTGACTTTGAGGACCAAGAACCCCCACAGGAGAAGGGTGCGGCTGAGGCGGCTGGGGCGTCTGAGGCAATTGGACCCGCAGACATTCTTCACCCTCTACCAGTCCGACGCCCTTCGCTTCTTGCGGCAACCTCTGCGACTTCTGAAAGTACACCTCGAAATAGCCAGGATCTCCTTGCTCCTTTGGCTCAGTGTTGGCCCGAACAGTCTGGCTGTCTAGAAAGTTCGACCGGAAAGTTGGAGCACGCCTCTAGGAACTCAGAGGACACGATGGAGAATCTGGAAAATACAATAGAGGAAAACCTGAATAATGAGCCGAAGTTGGGTGACGTAACCGAGAAGCCAGGGAACGAGACTGAGTATGCCGAGGACGAAACGGAATATCTCCAGAATCCCGCCGAGAATCTGGAGATAGGGCCCAACGATCCAGCGGATTCAACGGAAGACCTGGAGACTTTAATGGAGACACTGGTGAGCTCGACAGAGAATATTCAGAAGGTACCTGAGCAAGTGGATAACGCACCCGAGAATATAGCGAATGCGCCGGAGAATATTCAAAAGACACTGGAGAAAGTAGGCAACGTCCCTGAGAATCCAACGGACTCGACGGAGAATGTTCAGAAGGCGCCCGAGCACACAACAGAGACCAGTAGGAGGGCGCATGAACCCATGAACACCGCCCCTAAGAAACCGGAAAACACAACAGAGGCTATTCTGCGGAAGCCCGAGCCTATGAACAACCCCCTTCAGAATCTGGACAACACCACGGAAACTATTCAGCGGGCGCCCGAGCTAGCAAACAATTGCCTTCAGAATCCGGACTACACAACAGAGACTGCCCAGATGATGCTCGAAAAGGTAGAGGACGTGCCTGAGAGTGTGGAGAGCACCATTGGGAATTTCGAGAACGCGACTGATTTCCGAGGTCGAAACAGCGACTATATGACTCCTGATAAAGAGAGTGATGCCTTACGTGTCAAGGATAGTTCGGACTCTGTGACACCTACCGATGGGGATACTGTACCTCAGAAAATCACCGACCAATCTCCAAGGACGGCAACAAGCGAACCTGCGAGTCCTCCTACCACGGACACTGCCTATGGTGAACCCCTTGATGCCCTTGGTGACGATATCTGCTTTTCTCTTATGTCGCGAGCCACCGAGAAGCAACAACTGCCACCAAGATCGGACAAGATACCTGAGATTGAGGAAAGTTCGCGGGCCGCTAATGACCCTCGGCTTGCCAACAAGACTCTCGATCTCCGTGAAATTCACGAATCAGCCCTTCCGTTCGCAGATATCGGTAACGGTGATTGTACGATGAGGGAAACAGCCCTCTCTGCTTCGTTAGGAGATTCAGCAGGGAAAGACAGAGTGAACACTCTACCATTATGGAACGAGCCGTTAGCCGAGGCTGAACTGGGTGACATGGGACAAACAGCAGGGCCGAACGAGTAACAGCACGTGGACTGAACCCGCTCGAGGAAAAAGCTCCTGGCCATTCGGAGGCTCCCAAGCCCGAAAAAGGTTATATCCTAGCCCAGGCGAGAGTCAGACCTTCAGAAGTTCTTCGTTAGAAATACCTCAAGCAGGCCCGATGTTTGCATACGCTGTTAGCAGTCCACTGTTGCAACGATTGGTCGAAATGCCTGATCGGGTTCGGAATATTTGAGCCTCATGACGCAAATTTAAAACGAAAAACTTGACTGCTGAAAGCAGACTCAATTTATGGGGTGATTTGGCAGCTATTTGACCACTTTTCTTTCAATAGATCGGCGGACTAATATGAATGCACCTATACGCAAATGAATCACGGCAGGTCTATCGACCTCGGATGACGACGACACGAAATGTTCCCACAGCTGAGGCTGAATTCATGGGTAGGTTATGGTTATGAGGATATCTTTCGGCTCTTTGATGCGCAACGCAGCCCAAGGACGCATGTTATCATCACGGCAGGTGATGAGTTCACAAATGATTGGAAGTGCATTCGAACTAAGAAGGATTGGGAGTTTTGCTTTTACTTTGTCGGGTTTATGTACAGTGCAACGGGCGGCGTCAATCGGGAAATTGGAAAGGATCATGGTTGCGAAACCAAATCAACTCCACGGCGAGCAAGCGCTCGACCAGACGAACGAGAGCGTCGTGTCACAGGGCGAATTGACCTGTTTCGATTCACTGTATCGCGCGACACTGCCGATGCCGAACAAGCAATCAGGGAAAGCTAGATGTTTTTCGGGAGTCGCTTCTCTGCCACGGTCTCGAATGTCTGAAGGTTATGAGGTGTTTGCAGATTTCAAACTTCCGTCCTACTTGTGAGGTGAGACAGAACTCACGATATTATAACCTATGATATGATCATGAATAGCATGCGCAACCTGAGCTTAACTCAAGAAGTCGTTGATCCAGGCCGTCATGTATTTTCACCCCCTCGCATCAAGCAGAGCTACCGTCCCCACCAATCTTCCATGCTGTGATCAAATCCAGATTCCTCCCGATAAACACGATCTTCCCTTCTCCTGCAGTCACTTGGTCGTCGCTCAAATTCTTAGCCCCTTTGGCACTATCAATCTTCCACTTCGGCACCTCAATGATCTCAAAAATCTCCCTCACACCCTGCACAACCCTAGTGCTCCCATCCGTACACCTTACTAGCCCCTTTGTTCTATGGATTTCGTACTTTCGCTCGCTTCCCACCTGCAACTCCTCGGCGTCCCAGAGCAGTGTCTCCAACCAGCCTGAGAGGAGGTGAAGCTTTTGTGGATCAAAAGGAGGTAAGGCGAACGTAGCTGTGGAGAGCGTCGGGTCGAGGTGGGAGTGGCCTTTGGAGGCGAAGTCGGGCATTGCGTTAGTCTCGGTGTTGGATGTACTAGAGTGGGAGGGGAAGGTCGAGTACGCCTTCAAGTCTAGGATAGTACCGCTGAGGTTGGTGACGCGAGAATGTGTTGTCGGGACGATGCGAACCAGGCCGTTGATGGAAGCGATTCGGGCTTCAACTGCTGAAAGCCGGATTGGAGAGACAAGGTCTGTTTTATTGAGGAGTATTACATCCGCATGGGAGATTTGGAGGTGAGCAGTTGTGAGCTGGGGCATGTGGTGGTCATGGCGATCATGACGATCATGGGACTCGGATTGTGGCAACTCTTCGGGGGCCGGCTCATCGAGACTCTTGAGGATATTCTTCGCATCAACAACCGTGACGATGCCATCGAGGTAAATACTACTGCCTAGGCCTTCGTCGAGCCAAAACATGGGCGCAATATTCCCGGGATCTGCAACACCCGTAGTCTCGAGGAGGATGTAATCAAAGTCATTCTGTCGTTCAACCAGAGTCTCCAACGCTGCGACTCCAGAGTCTTTGACGCTGCAGCAGATACACCCATTGGCCAGAGGAATCCATTCTGTTGTGGCCTGATGGTTCTGATTGACGGTTAGGGATTTCTCGATATCCGTCGTATTTCCGAATTCTGCCTACGTCGAAAGGATATTAGAAATTAACGTTGATCATTGGACATCAAGAATGAATGATATGGAAGCAATTGATAAGAGGGCTCTAGGAGAAGTGGGTGTACCGTTACGTGCCGTTTAAAATAACTGCAATTTTCTTGCCGTGTTCTGCTGTCAAGATATAGTTGAGCAACGTTGTCTTCCCTGCGCCTAGGTAGCCTGCGAGTGCTCCTGTCAGTTCATGCAGCGACAAGTATTTGCCGGAGGGCAGTCCTACCTGTTATGATGGTGATAGGCACCTTTCTCTTAGACTCATCTCCCACAGTGCCGGTGGCATTGCCATCCACAGAGACTTCGACGAGGTCCGGTATTTCTTCGTCATCCATTCTTACTGGTAGTCACTAAGGTGGTGCCGAGTCCTGCAGAAATAAACCCTCTTCGGCTAAAGTGAGAGACTGAGGCGATGTTGGAATCGAAATGTAAATACATCCTCCTCCTCGACATCTACTATGGCCACGTCCGTTGAATCACATCCACGTCATGCACAGAGGAATATCAACCAACGTTCACGATAGTCAAGTTTAAGGTTTAGCGTCCGGCTGTTTGTCGATCTCGCAACCTTGTATTCAGAGAAGGCAACTCATCCGAATCCTACTCGCCTGTTCCCACGAAGTCGAGTGCCAGTTCGCCTGGCTATCAAGCTGTTCCACTGCGCCTGCACCTCGCCTGCCACCTGCACAAGGCATCAAACTACCCCGAAGCGGAACTCCCTTCCTCTGATCAACACATGAGTTCTCACGATTGGGCTATGTATGCCACAGTACTCTAGAACAACCAAGAGCACGGAAGTTAGCGCCCTCCTGCGACAACGCGACCAATCTGGTCTCCTCTTATTGCGCATGGATCGGCGTCTACGCAGAGCTGCTTAGATTGTGAGGACCATAGGACCATGAAAGGGAACTAGCAATCTTTTCTCTAGGACGAACGGCAATATACGGCGAGAGGGGAACCCTTTCCACGGATTGAAGAGGCGACCACTTTGCCGTTTGAGCGCCTTTTTCAGCGCGAGAACGAGTTGATCGTCGACAGACACAATTTCGCCCTCCACATACACAATGACTGCTGTTACGCCCTCGAGATCTGGCGTCTCGCCATCCAGCTCCCCTCGCTTGCCGTCTCCTCCACCTATCCCAGAAGTTCAATTCGGCCCCAAAAGCCCTGGTGTTGATCTCTCCAAAGAACTGTCGCTTGAAGCGACTTCAAAACCAGATGAAGGGGCAGCAAGGAGGATTAGACCCGGAACAAAAGCTGCAGACATGGCTCTTGGTCCTCCCCTGGTTCCGTTGAGCCAGCTTGACTCGCCATTTCAACTTCAAGAACACCTTAAATCCCTCTACGCTCACCTCACTCACACGCCAGAATCTACGCACACCATTCCCATCACGAAAGAATCTGCTCTACAACTCGCAACACCCCCACAAATTAACGACAACGAGTTCGTGGACAGGAACCTATGGCTGTACGAACTATGTCGATTTCTCACTCAGAAAGCTAATATCGTTTCGATTTTCCTGATGAACGATAATCCGCCCTGTTCTTCTCAGACATGTCCTGAAATGCGTGCTAGTGAATGGCAGTATCTCTGCGCCGTGCATGAGCCGCCGAAATCATGCTGCGCGATCGACTATTGCAACCATACTCTCGATTGGGCTGCGAACGTTCTGACGAGTCCGAAGCATTTCCCTTCGCGGTTAGCTTTAGGCTCGGAGGCAGGCAATGTCATTCAAAGTATGAGACAACTGACTAATATCTTCCGACGAGTGTATCGCATATTCGCACATGCTTGGTTTCAACATCGTGATGTCTTTTGGTCTGTCGAAGCTACTTATGGTCTGTACATGCTGTTCAAAGTCGTCTGTGACGAGTACCATCTCATCCCAGAGGACAGCTATACGATTCCAACCGAAGCTGAAGGAGTCCACGAAGCCACTACTGACCGCGAAGGTGGTCTACGCCCGCAAATACTGCATAAGGACAATGCATCGAGTTCGATGTTGGACGAGTCGTCCAGTGGATCCTCGTCAGTAGACACTACTACCCCAACAGCCCCGACGACAGTCAGCACGGGTGCAACAACCCGGAGACACAAACACACCCCTAGCACTGGGAGCCATGTTGCCACCATCGCCGAGGGCCAAGAAGAGGAAGAAGAGCGTCCGAAAAGCTGTATAGCAGCGACGAAAAATCTACCGCAGCCACCTCAACTTCAAGAGATACCCAAGGCCATCACAATGCCAGGAGGAGACGGAGCATCCCTAGATAGGGATGACCGAGGAAAGGACAGGAACAATGACGCTTCCCCAGAACGTCTCTTAACTAGACTTGACATTACCTCTACCGTACTAAAATACGAGCCTCGCGCTCCGGAGGATCCCACACCTACAGGCACAGCAGAGGATATCGATCCATTGTCCGTGCACATGAATTCGCAGAATCTAGAGTCACCATCTACGACACTAGATGGAGATGTCGGTCCAAGGACTATCAACAGCGTCGCCTACGTGAACGAGAAGGATGGGTCAATGAGAGTGGAAACCCCCATAGAGCAGACAACTAGACCGTTTGACGATGAAGAAGGCGGGCAAAAAATTACGTCCCCTTCCGGTGGATCGATAAGGACGGGCGGAAGCGACGTCCTCAAGGCAATATTAGGGCATATTCATGACCTGGATGACGACTATTCAATCGACTCTGTGAGGCATGGTCAAGCCGGGGACAGTGGAGCAGCTGTTCAGGCGAGAGAGGTGAATGCTATGGGGGATTCAGAGAATAGTGACGATAAAAGTGTCCAGGATAATGAGGACATGAGTCCAATCAGGACGGAGCCGCCCTCACTGATTGGGCCTGAGGACGAGGCTCCCAAGGGGGATGAAGGTGGAGATGAAGCCGAGACAGAAAATGGAGAGCACGGGCCTCGACGTGATGGGGTGAAAATCTCAGTGGAGGAGACCACAGACGATCTTGAGCCTAATGCGCAGCAGGCGGAAGACAACCAAGCCGAACAGGGAGAGACGGAGGGGAGCAAGGATGGCTTCGGCGGCTTCGTGCTTGAAAGCTGAGTCCCAGAAGGAAGGCGGCTGGTAATCCTTTGTATGAATACGGAGTACAACATGGACAAAGTCGGATCAGCCTTGTTCGACATTTTTAGCTGGGGCAAACGTTAGCTTGGATCATGGGTAAACGAAATGCCGTGTTGAACACATCCAGGACGAATGAAGACGCCAGAGCACTTGGTATCTTCGGCTGGAACGGAGAGCAGACAAGGGACTGATAAACAATCGCTCAACGTCTACAACGCACTCAAGATGTTAGAAGGCATTTTTTGTTGAACATAGCTATTGTATCATGGAGAGGCTACGTTAACGTTCCATGGTCCGCGCCCGATGTCCTCCCTGAGCGATTCTGTTCAACTAGTCCCAGGAGCTCGTGTAGCCATGTTGTTGTAGCATGCACGCCGCACGGCATTCCATTCCTATACATGAGGTATTATCTTATACGCGGAGCCGTTATCCACTTCATGCCACGAACTCACGGCCTTGGAAAACTCCTGTCGCGTCGACCTTTTTGATCACTGCCCTGCATTTCCGCCAGGAGCAAAATTCATTGAAGCTGAATGCAGTAAACGTGTCCTGGCCCTGAAGTTTTCATTCTCCTTAACTACCGCCTGCATATCCGTGTCTCAACTTTGCCATCCGCGGCTCGATTAAGGGATGCCATTGCGCGAAAAACGTTATTGCTGTATGGTCAGACGAAGTCAGCGAACAGCGTCGTGAGAATGGATGTGTAGCACAAAAACATCCACTGTGCGCCGTGCCTTTCTCATACGAAGTTTTGGAGACGGCGGCGCTCAGAGCTTGCTGTCAGTGATAGACATAAGGCCACGATACTGGCGAGCAGGAAAAGTGCAACGAACAACATGGTACATACCCCACATGATGTAGCAACTTGCAAAGCTTAGAATGAGGGTGCTCCTCCAAATCCTAGGGCAACCAAGGTCAGAATCAGACGTCCAGACAATTTGAAGCTTTGTTGCCAGTAGTCGAAACGCTTATGGTAGCTTTCCCTCCGTATGTTTGTCAACTTGACAGGGAGACGAGGAGAACGGCTATTGTGTAGAAAGAGATACGGGACATACGTCTGATTTTCACCCTTGGGACTCAAGAACCACGCTGCGGCGCTGAGGGCGACGATGGCGACCAGACCGATTAGAATCGACCACCTGTCGTAATAAAAGACAGTAGGTTAGTTCGAATGTGACTTCGTCTATTCAGCCGGGGGCTATTTCAGCAGTTGGAGGCGCGAGAGCAGAACAAGTCGAGACATGGGGTGAGGTGAAGTGAAAGCTCGGACTGAAGGAAGAGAGGAACACGTATTCGGCGATCAATCAAGACATCCAGCCTTAAGCGTCGGTGGACTGCCATGTTGCGCCAACGAAACCACCACCGTTTGATGTGACGTCGTCCAAGATGTAGATTTTACCACTCCTTGATGACTAGTAATCAACTCGCGTCTCTTTTGTTGAGCCTGGTATTCCGTCGTCATGCATGGAGATATTGGTCCTTAGAGCTTGACTCGCTGGAACGAAAGGAGTAGTAGAGTGGAGGGTGCGAGGACGAATGAATTCCGAGGTCGTAGAGTCTGTGTATACGATGTGAACATACCCGTTTGCCATCTTGTATGACCTCCCTTATTAGCTTGGATTAAGCAGTCGATCGTCCGCCGCGGTCACAGGAAGCTGCGATTTCACTGGGGCCGCTCGAGAGGGCTGCAACGACTGCGGAAGGTTGGCGAGAGGCTCTGTTGAGGAGGCACTGTTCTTCGAGACGCTATGTGATCCGTCGACTTAAGCGGTGGGGAAGACTGTCTCTGCAGGCAGTCGCTGAATACTTCTGGTTGCAAGAGTTGGACGAGAGGCGCAATCGAGTGGGAGACAGCTTCGAGACGAGGGAGGCAAGCAGGGAAGTTGGCTCAAAATCGGTCAATCTTCGGCAAACACTAGAGAGGGAAGTGACAGCATCGCCTTTGGCATCAATATCTACGAGAACAACGCCAGCAACAAACGACATTTGGTATGCGGATCTAAGTTGAACCACGTTCCCTCCGTCCCATTCATCCCATTGCTGGGAAAACAGTAGTAGGCGAAACAAAATACAAAGCACAGGAGCTGGAGACTATGGCGCCCCATCAAGCACCCTCTCTGCTCTTGCGATAGTTGCTTTCCTGCTCGACCTGGAGCTGATCAATCTCTGGCGCCAACTCTGACAAGATTTCATATGCTTTCTTATGATATTCGAGCTGCGCGGCAATCAAGTCCGCCAGGTTACGG